ATTTTGGTACTCAAAATACAAAAAAAAAGATATAACGACGTATTTTATCATAGGATTTTTCTGAGTGACGATCGAAGCGGCGACAAAGCGATCTTCTCCCGTGAAGGCAACTTCTTTCTTTCCTCATTTTCATTGAACCCGAATCGTGATCGCTGCTGCTGCTTCTGAACTTCGTTTCCCATTGCATGCTCTCCGCTACTCTCGTCGGTCGTTGGGGTCGTCACGTCCATTTCGTTATTTTCATTCAACATCTCCAACCCTGTGTTCGTTTCCTGGTCGCTAATTACAAACGATGCACCTTCCATCACTACACCAGCATATGTACTGCTGCTGTTTTGTTTTATTTCACTTTGCTGCTTTCCTTTTTCCTTAAATTGCTTCTCTGGTTTCTTCCGAGCCTTCCGCTTGGGGCAGGAAAGCTTCCGGTGTCCATCCGCTTTGCACAGAAAACATTTATCTTTGTTGCCATCATAAAATATATTTCCTTTGCGATTGAAGAAATGAAATGACGTGGGGATTTCCTTCTTCACATCCATATATACCGCACATCCGTATATACCTCAAAATACATGTCAGTTGGAAATTTCTCCCGGATGATGCGTTTAATTTTTCCTTATTTCCTCAGCACTTTATTCAGCTCGTTGTCGGGTACGTCTGGTGGCAAGTCATACACACGCACATATTGGATGAATTCACCAACATGCGACATGCGTACCTTTGCCGTCGTTCCATTCGCATAATGGAAGATTAAATCCTCCGAATTGAATGTCAGAGCATGGAGCATCGCTTCCTCTGATTTGAACTTCATAAAGACTCCCCTTTTCTCACCAATGCGATAAACAGCTTCCATTTCAGCCGGATTCGCGTCGAGTGCTTTGGCGAAATTTACAATCTCTCCAATGTTTGGTTTAGCATCACAATGGCTGAAGCTAAACTTGATGGTGTTTTTTACTTCACACATCTTGCACCGTAGCAACAAAAGGCACCGAACTGCTAGCAACGAACAAAGAGCAACTAGGGTTAACTACCCCATTTCCGGCCTATTAAGAACAACCCGCACGTAGTTTTTCTTAATCTAGCGCAGTTTAGCACCAAACGGAATGTTATTATTACTGATGGCTTCCAAATGGATTTGATAAAGAGAAACCAATCGTTGAGATATTGTCAAAAGTCTAACACTGCTTCTTGACGCCAAACTCGGCCTACGGATTCTAAACCCGGCCCCGGTCAGCCATTCCATCATGGATACAAAAAAAATGTCGTTGGTAGAGAAAACTTCCTCCACCACCAACTAGGCAACTGTGGTTTCCACAGTTTACCCATGTTTATACCACATCTGATAGCGATGGCTATGCTTTCACCCAGGCATACCAAAAGTACCGCCTCATGACAGTATTCCAACGTCTGTCGCTTTCTTTTTCCTACGACAGCCTTGAGATTGAGCTATAAGCGACAGCCCACAGTGAGGCTTTCATACGACATGCAACGTTGCCGTCTTGTGCAGTACACGACAGTTCCTTCTTATTCGTGTATTTTGTTCCTTCGGTTATGACAGCCTCGGATGGTCATTTGTAACGTTCCTCGTACATATAACAAGCAGTCCAACAAAATGCCGATTCGTTGATGCTGTCTTTACAATTTTGATCGTATGTCATGACCTTAAATTGATCCGACATCGGGCCGACATGTCTGTTCGGGATTATTTTTCTGGGTTTCTTCCATACTCCACTGCCGTATATCAATTCTAGATAGAGCTGGAATTAGGGCCTAACAGCTTTTGTAAACAATGACTTATATCGATGATTTCTAGAAATTCAAGGTTTGCCCACGCAGACCAACATGCTCATCGGGTAGGGAAAGACTTCCCCTATCCGATAGTTATGTTGGGCTGCGTGGGCGTGCCTTGAGTTCCTAGAAATCATCGATAGAAGTCATTGTTTACAAAAGCTGTTACGCCCTAATTCCAGCTCTATCTAGAATTGTATATAATGTCTCGTGACAGCCACTTGGGTAAGCTGAGGGATGTCGTCGGTTTGTGAAGGCTGTCATGAGGACAGAAACATTAAAAACCCGTTCCAAGCACGATGATTTTAGCAAAGCGGGTATAGATGCGACTGTTCTAATACAGCTTTCATTCGTTCGTGCGTGCGCTGTTTCCAATAGACTTCTCTGACGTTTGTGAAATGCACAAGTATTAGTGCAGAACTCGGGGTAAATTATAAGTATTAGTGCAAGAAAACCTTTGAATTTACCCAAAGTACTGCACTGATACTTGTGCAATTCACAAACGTCAGAGAAGTCTACACACTTCGAATTCAGATCTGAACGTACGGTAGCAAGCGGTAGTAAAGCACACAAAGCAACAGTCAATTCAGGTATAAACCAACTAACGCGAGAAGGCTGTACTATTTGGAAGCCTGCTTTCACCTCGTTTGTCAGCTCAGATCAGCAAATGACGTTCGATAGAATTATTTACATCATCGGTTTGAATTATTTGCGTTATGGGTCATTGCGTTATCCAATACCTATCCATTCTCATTCTGTATTCGAAAGGAAAATTCGATAGCGAGCATGCAAAACGGCGTAAGCGCGATGATCGATTCTCTTCGTCGATTTTCTCTTTTGTTAATAACTCGCTAGATTTAACGTTTCTCGGTGCTTTTGCTGTTGCTTTTGATAGTCAATACAACCTGTTACAACTCTGCATTGAACTAATTCTAGAAAATTGTTTCGCTTAGCTGTAGCAATGCATAGAGAAAATCGATGAAGAGAATCGATCATCGCGTATACGCACTTATACATGCTTACTGCTGAATTATCTGATTTCAAAACAACCGTCATCTGGTTGCAGTTAAAATTCGAAAAAACGATTTCGATGTTTCGATTTGAATGGTCTGAGGTTTCATTCGATCAGAGGGTTATATTTGTGTGGGGAAATGACTAATGTTGGCCAATGAATTTAAAGATTTGGCCCCGTCGATGCAAATCTCCTGCTTTTCAATTTTTCATAGAACAATGCATCATTTGGACAATACAAATATATATTTAAAGATGCTGTCCTTCGACATGTGTGTATGGGCCCAATATTAGAGACACGTAGGCTGACATTAAGAACATTAACAACAATTTCAGAAGAAAAAAAAACTACTTCCGAAAAATAACTCCAATTTCGCACAAACTCCGTATTTTTTATTACGCCTCCTGCTGAGTAAAGGTGGATAATAAAATCGATTTTTTTCTATATGCCCAACTTTGAGAATTCATAACTTTTTAACTGGTGGACCGATTTTCGATATTTTTCTGCAAATGAAAGGTATTTAGCATGCATCTTCAATGTGTAAAAACTGGTGATCTTAAACTTGGCAATATCAGCGCTGGTCACGTCCGAATGCTGGTCAAGAAAGGAATGGATAAGAATATGTTGATGTTATACTCGCTTTAATGAAAGCCGACAACACCTCTGTACTTGAACGAGAATCACAGGGATGTTGTTATAGATTTTCTGGCAATACGTGGAAACTAAAATATTACACCAAATTGAAATGAAACAGAGACAAATCATTGCTTTTTTCTCAAGTTCATAGTTTAATGCCAAACTTGCTATTTAATTCTTATGTATACATTTTGTTTTGCAATATATTACGTAACCGTAACCAGTCTCTTTTAACCAATGGAGGCTCGTAGTAGTTTAGATGCAGAAACATAAGAGGCTCTAATGTTGGCCTATGATTCTAAGATTGGGCCCATCGCTAAAAATCTGCTATTTATCAATTTTATCTAGATGGAAGCGTCATTGAGACGATACTAATGGATATTTTTTTTCGCTATTGAAAATTTAGCCGAATGCTGAATTTATGTATGGGCCCAAATTAGGGGCATTTAGGCCGACATTACATCCATTTCCCATATTTGAAATATTGTGAATAGACATGTTTGAAAAATGTTTGCTAATAACTGCTAATAACCCTAAACAAATAGGTTATTAATAGCTTTCAATTCAATAAACTTAAAGAATCTTTACATCACAATGTTACTTATTAATTTATCATTGGTACTCAGTTCGAAAAACAAGATCGACTCAAAACAAAATTTCAGGTCGTTGTAAATAAAAACCCTAAAACACTTCTGTGCAAAACAGCTGATGCGTATATGTTCCATCTGGAGTCGACTGGTGAAACAATATCAATAAAAAAAAAACCCTGATATCGTACAATTCGTACAAGGTACAATCTACCGAAAAGTTATGTTTAATCATCAAATAGAATCACTAAATAATTCTTCATGCTGAAAAATTACATTTTACAATACCTTTAGCCATATCTTATGGGTGTACAATAATTAGATACAAAGTGTAAAATATTAGAATGTCAATTCAAATGGTGCGTGCAAACATTGGGCTCTAAGGCATATTCAATAGTGGGGCCTCATAGCCTAGTCAGTAAAGACACGGTATTACCAAGCCGGAGGTGGCAGGTTCGATTCCCGGTCCGGTCGAGGGAATCTTTCGGGTTAGAAATTTTCTCGACGTCCCTGGGCATAGAGTATCATTGTGCTTGCCACACAATATACAAATTCATGCATTGGTATTGGCATCGAAAGCTCTCAATTAATAATTGTGGAAGTGCATTTAGAACACTAAGTTGAGAGCACGCAATAAGCTAATATGCGCTAAGCAATAAGCTTGAAATGCAAACAAGAAGAAGAAGAAAGCATATCCAAACGATTTATCATAAAGAACATTTTGACAAATATAAACTGCTGAAGGATTCCTACTCAAAAAACGATTTAAACCTCGTGAATATGCAAACTAATAAAAAGCGCATGCTTATCTGTGCAACAATTGGAAAATTACCCTAATATTTCGTTCACTTTTTTAGAGCTGCCAACGCTGAATCGAAATTTGTCTACAGTGGCGATAAAGTATGTGAAGGTAAATTGATAAAGTCAGAAGCTGATAACAGCTAAAAAAAAATTGATTTCTAGCTTACTTTACGCTTCACGGGTCACTTCAGACGTTATGTAAAAAGTGATCGGTCAGGGAAAATGGCGTTCAAATACTCATATTTTCTGTGTGCTCTCGTGGTACTTGTAGTGATTCCTTCAGCGTGCGCAGATAATATTCTTTTCATTCAAACACTTGCTTCGAAGAGCCACCACATTTGGAACAAGCAAATATTCGACCGGCTATACAACAATGGACATAATCTCACAATCATCTCATTCGAAGAGGAGCAATCCGTCCCCGGTAAGACGTTCTTGGTTGTGAAAGATTTCATGACTAGATTGATAGCTGAATATGGCGGCAACTGGGATTATACCGTTGTACAAAGTCCGTTTGTGAATATTCACTTTATGTATGACTTTTACAATAAAGCAAGTCGATTGCTGGCGGAAGAAGAGGCTGTTCAAAGGCTTTTAGCCTATCCACGAACATTCAAGTTTGATTTGATCATTCATGATCTTACAATGGGCCAATTCCTATTGGGGTTCGTAGAGTACTTTGGAAACCCACCGTTAGTCTCTATATCTGCTTTCAACATTCCTCCTCATGTTACAACAATGGCTGATGCCCCGTTAAGGACTACCTGTTTGCCACACTACGCCTCTAGTTTCGGTACTGGGATGAACTTTATCGAACGAGTGAAAAATACATTATATTGGGCGCTCGATATCTTCTACCGTAACAGAATCTACATGACCAACGAAGATCGACGAGTAAAACGGCTTTTTGGTAGCAATTCAACATCTGTGAAGTTGATTGAACAGCGCTCGGACTTTATCTTGGTGAACAGTGATTTTAGCATGGATTACTACCAAGCCCTGCCACCGAATGTAATACCTGTTGGCGGATTGCATGTATCTCGTACTGAGAAAGTACCTCCAATCGTAAAACAATTTATAGCTCGTGCCATTAAAGGCGTCGTTTTATTGAGTTTTGGAACAAATGTAGCATCTGAAATGCTCGGTGAGAAGATCAACGTCGACATGTTCAAAGTGTTTCGAAGTATGCCGGACTATGGTTTCATTTGGAAGCATGGAGATCCAGCGTCATTGGGAATAATGCCAACAAATGTATTGGTGTTAAAATGGGTTCCACAAGCTGCAATTCTGTCTAATACGAGAACCAAACTGCTGATCAGCCACGGAGGACTCTTGAGTCTACAAGAAGCTACTTGGCATGGAATTCCTGTCTTATCAATCCCATTCTTCGTTGACCAGTATTCAAATACAGATAAACTCATCAGAGCTGGGGTTGGCATAAAACTTCTACCGAAAGACATAAACGAAGAAAGTTTTAAAGACGCTATTATGAATGTTTTGGATGATCCAAGGTATGTTCAAGAATGTTTATTTACATCAACATAAAATTTATTATAACGTATATTTTAGTTACCAAGCAAGAATGAAACAAAGATCTTACCAATTCAAAGCACAGCCGGAACATCCCCTTGATCGTGCAGTTTTCTGGATTGAGAAAGTTCTTGAAAATAATGGTCTTAGCTATCTTCGATCCCCCGCCCTAGATATGAACATATTCCAAATATATGGCATCGACATGTTAACCATAATACTATTGATAGCTTTCATCTATTACCTAATCCTCCAAAGACACCTCAAGCAACCAGCTACCACTGAAAAAGAGAAACCGAAAAAAGAATAAAGTAGCTTTTACACTGTTCATGTGGAACAAATACATTCATCAACAACAGTGATGACCGCCCAATACATGATATCAACTTCAGCACTGTGAGTGTTATCTCTGCTATAAACTGATAACGCATTTTGAAACATTTCATTGACCTAACCCAAAGTAAACCAGTCACCATGTTGTATTCAATCAGTCAGTGTTTATTTGCTATAGTGTTCTTGCTCCCAGCAGCTACCTATTGCGACAATATACTATTTTTGCAGACAACTCCTTCTCGAAGTCATCACATCTGGAACAAACAAATTTTCAACCACTTGTACGACAATGGGCACAACTTAACCATCTTAACTTTCGAACAGGAGCAATCTATTCCTGGAAAGTCCTTCTTATACGTACCGAAATTCTATGCCAGAATTATGATGGACTTTGCTGCAGAGGACAATTCCGAATCGGAGATGGGTCCCGTTGGGAACATCATCAACATGTACAGTTTCTATGAAAAGGCAAGTCGCATCTTGATGAAAGAACCCGCCATTCAACATCTACTTCACTACCCAACAAACTTCAAATTTGATCTCATAATTCACGATTTCACCATGGGTCAATTTTTGCTAGGCTTTATCGAACGATTTGGAAATCCTCCGCTAGTTTCTATATCAGCGTTCAATTCTCCATCATACACAATGTATCTGGCAGATATACCCGTACGCTTCACGACTATGCCAAACTATGCAAGCGAATTTCATCAACAAATGAGCTTTATGGAAAGATGCTGGAATCACTTCTACTGGTACTTGGAATACTACCACCGGCAATTTCGATTCATGTCCAATGAAGATCGCAGAGCTCAAGAATTATTCGGTCAAAATTCAACCAGCGTGAAGGAGTTAGAAAAGAGATCCAGCATTATTCTAGTCAACAGTGATTTCAGCATGGATTACCACCAGGCTCTTCCACCTAATGTAATCCCAGTTGGTGGGCTTCACATTTCGCGACCCGAAAATATTCCACAAAACATGGCAGAATTCATGGACTTCCCTAGCAAAGGCGTAATACTACTAAGTCTTGGTTCAAACGTGCAATGTGAAGGCTTAGGAAAAGACATAAATCAAGCAATTCTGAAAACATTTTCTAATCTACCTGAGTACAATTTCATTTGGAAGCATGGAGATCCGGAAAGCTTGGGACCAGTTCCACCGAACGTACTGATTCAAAGATGGATTCCGCAACGGGCAATTCTATCAGACCCAAGAACAAAACTGCTCATAGGCCATGGCGGACTGTTGGGACTGCAGGAAGCAACCTGGTACGGTGTTCCAGTGATTGGCATTCCATTTTTCGCCGATCAGCTGCAAAATGTTGATAAGCTGGTGAGAGGCGGAGTTGGAGTTCGGCTGTTTTTGAATGAATTGAATGAGATGTCCCTGAAGCAAGCGTTGCAAGAAGTCATGACTAATAAGAGGTAATTGCTTATATTACTTTTGTTAATGCGATATTATCGAGGAGAGTTTTTAGATTTTGGCAGGAATATGTATTCTGAATAAATTACTGGGACGCAAGTGATCCAATACCTGTGAAACAACCTACTTCGAATAAGTTTACATGTCACACAAGTATTCTAATATGAGCACATAGTTAAAATGAGCCGCGAATTTCGGTGCTGTAAATTAGTTATTTATTTATCAGCGAAATTGTCTTGTACAAGACCAGTTCTCACTGGAGTTCTCCTGTAAATGTGGAAAACAAATGTAAACATATAAATGTAGCTAAGTAGGCTAAGCAAACATCATGTCACCTATCTACAATTTAACACACATTAATTTTAGAGCAGCAGCTGCTAATTCTAGGCCAAATAAGAACAAATGATACAGTTTAAAAAGGATCGATGTAAAAGGATCACATCGTGAAGAAAACTTAATTTGGAAAAGGAGAAATGGGAGTAAGATAGACACCCTTAGAATTGCTATTGTTTTATCGGTTAAAAATACAACAGTTTGCTTAGAATATCAGTATTCTGTAGGTTAAACTCATACTTGACGAAAATGCATACCGTAAAACAGATTACTCGATAACACGGGTAACTTTGATGTATAATATAATGATTAAATTTATTCTCTGCACTATTTCCGAACTGGAAGCATTGGTTCCATTTTGTAGCTCAGGGTATTACATTTGATATCATAAAAACGATTTTCTTGATGTTCGCATCAAACAATCACTCATAAAATACAATGTTGTCTTCTTATTGCTTATGATGTTTCTGATTATATACATATGATTCATCGAGTATTATCAAAGTAACCCTAAATTAAAAAAAAAAAAACATGTCCGATCCAAGACAAAAAAAAAATAATGCAAATGCAATAATTTCCGTTAAACATATTAATAACGGCTTGACTCTAGGATCCTCAGTACTTGTTTAACACAAATATATTATAAAAACATTGATTGTTGTAAAAAAAATAAGAATATACTTCAAAAACTATCAAAGTTACCCGATTTTATGGTACACACATTTATTTTAAACTGTGATATTTTAGGGGTATTTGCGGCACATACCAGTTGTTGCCCAATTCCTCCGGGGTATCTAGGACATATCCGGACGTGGTAATTACGGTGTTGAGTCTTCATAATGACCTATGATAATCATACAATGTTGATAATTTTTACAATGTACAAAACACAGTCAACTCTCCACAACTCGATGTTCACAAGCTCGAATCGAAGTATAGCATCGCAGTTAAAAATATTGTCATGGCTACTGAGTCACGATTTTCTATAGAATTGTTGTTCTATAACTCGATAATTCTATAACTCTATGGTCCCTTCAATATCGAGTTATAGAGAGTTCACTTTATCAAATTTTCAAGACTGTCCATCTTACGCCCAGCACCTGTACGTTTTAGCCGCTACGATTTGCAGTAGGAGGTATGATCACCGGTAGGATGATACTGCTGATGGGGGGAAAACGACACTGCGGCTTATATCCCGCTTGATCTCATGCCTCCCTTCGACCTAGCACCATTTACTATCAATTATACAAAACGGTATATTTTGCCATAATTTTCATGTGAAACATGAGCTATTCTTTTATAAATTTGCATAAGTTAGAAGAACTGCTCATGTTTGAAAGAAGGAAAAATGATTTTTTAACGTAACTTCAGTAATTTTACACTACCGGAGCATATTATTGTTATCTATTTTTCTAAATAAGAATATTTTTTTATTCGGGGCTATGGTATTCGGGGAAATGTTATGGGATCCTGGAACAAGTCCGGATGTATCCAATGTTCTGGGGACTCGATATGACCACCAATGAGCTTGTTGCTGAATGCTCATTGAGGTGTTGGCAAGTTTTAAACCACACTAACCGGAACATATCTCCGGAATTAGTTTATCGATTTGCTAAAAAAAAACAATAGCGTTCGAAGGGTCGAGTTGATAGGCCTCTAAAACCGGCCATCTTGAAAAAAGGCTAGATGATGCAGTTTTCAAAATGTTGCCCCGCTTATATTTTTTGAATGAAGTAATTTTAATTAATTGTTACTGTGGGGAATAAAAAGTCAAAATCTACGTACTTGGACCAGTTTTATAAAATATTTTAAAGATATTAAATATATCATATAATACGTCTACTGAGTAGCCTTTGAGTATTTTTCCCATATAGAATCATCGACAAAATTAATAAAAGCTTTAATTGAGAAATAGAGACATTTTAATAGGTCAAACCCATACCTCATAGGGCATAATTTTGAAATCTGCATCATCAGCAATGGGCTTAAATTAAAAATGGGCATAATTTTGAAATCTGCATCATCAGCAATGGGCTTAAACAGCATAATTTCTGGTAAATCCAAAATAATTCAAACAACCAAACAAAAAAATAAGTGGGACAACACAATTGTATGAGGCTTCTTGTGAGAAGAGCAAGAATGATTGAAAACTGTATCGAACGAATACCTAATTACTTGTCCATTAGAGTGGTTTAACTTATCAACCCCCAGCTCTCCACTGCTTATTCGATGCGTATTGAGGTCCTCAACAACTGTGCTCAATATGAACGTATGTATTTGGTTACGATTTGGATTTGAAAAGAATTTTAAAGTAATTATGGTCATATGGTGGTAGCTCAGTCGATAAAGGCGCAGTTATAAAACGAGACCATGCTGGACGTAGTTGGGTTCGCTTCCCTGTCCGCTCTTGAAATGTTTTGGGTTGAAACATTTCTTGACTTCCCTTGGCATGCATGGAGTACGATTTTACTTGTACTTGTCACATAATAATACTGCTGCAAAAATGGTACAGGCTTAGAATTAACAACTGTGGAAGTTCCGGCGAAAAGTAACCAAATAAAAATATGGTAAAATTTATGGGAAACGGAACTAAACTTCTAATTTGCTTGCCAAAATTAAAAATTTCGAAGGGTTGTATACTAGATACGACCGCAGGGTTGGCGTTGGATAACGTCTGTTATGTGTTGTACTTAATTGTGTATATTATATTTAAGGAAATTCCTTAATAACTCTTTTGCGAAAATTTGGTGGCCCAAAACTCGCTCCACCAGACCAGCTTCCCCTGCTCTGGTACTGCTGCTCTGCTGCTCTGCTGCTGGGTCGACGATCGGATAGACAATGATGGAACGGGTGACCTTGATGGACACTTATATAGTAGAACAGAAAATATCAGAGGTGTCAGATACTCGCATATGATGTCTCGGTTGGAGAAAGTATAAGAATATAAAAAAAAATAATCGATTTTCACCATCTTTAGACAATGGTTTACTTTTAACCATTTTTCAATAGTTTACAGAATGAAATCAATAGTTTTGAAACATTCAGCAAATTTCTAGAAATATTTCCAATCGATTGATGCCATTATCTCGTAAATCTATCGAGAGACGGTTGAGTTATTATCGTTCAAAATCTTTTAATTTTTCGTAACGCATCCAAAATGCCTGTTTTCAATTTTGTACCCCCGTATGTTGCCGAAAGACGTTATCCAACGTAAAAAAAAACTCTATTTTTACCCAACTTGAGATTTAGATTTGGAAAACTATGCAGAATAACTTTCTCGAAGATCGCAAATTGATTCCACTTCTGTGCTAAAAGTTATTAACATTTTACTTTAGGCCCAGTGCTCCGCGCATACCTACAGGCGTATCTATAAGGTGGTAGGAATTCGCGGAGCACTAGATCTAAAGTAATAAAATACATAATAACTTTGTGCACAGAAGACGAATCGATTTGCAGCCTTGAACAAAGTTGTTCTGCATAGTTTTCTCAATCTAATCTTATCGTTGGGTCAAAATTGAGCATTTTTTTTTATTATTTTTTTCCAAGCTATAGTTTCAATCCGTTCCCATACAAACTTTAAAATTCACTCACAAATCCAGATCGTAACATGTATTTAACAAAGGACACGGACATATCACAACAGATCACTGAGTTGGTCGCAGTGATTATACTGTGCATGACATAAAAATTTTACCATATTTGATTTTCTTGTGGTTCCCTTTGATAAAGTGTAGAATATACTTACGCAATAATACGTCACGTTTGTAGGTACTGTCAGATGAGATGAAGTTGATCATTGAGGTAAAGTTGATCACTACACCGTTCAAACAATGCATTCTACAACTCGGAATGTGTAATTTTGAGGAAATGATACAATATTCAACTTTAACTGTTCCTAAAAATACCATCAGAATCAGCATTTATTCTGCTGTTGTGTTTGACAATATAACGTATTTTACTTAAATTTGGACTGCTGAATCCAATGGAATCATATTGTGTTGATATGAACGATTTCGTATCATAAAAATGATTTTATGTAAAAAAAACTCATGTTCATTTGCCAACACTTTAAATGTAATAACGCAAGGCGGGAGTAACCGTCAACAATGTTGATGATGGAACAGCACCCACCACCACCCAACTGCTGCTTTCTGAGATGACTACGTTGGTAATGACGAGAGAAACAACACAATAGTTGGGTAAAGAAGAATTGCATTATAACACACCAACGCGTGGATCGTATTGTAAACTTCCACAAAAAAAAACAAATTTACTTAATTCATACTAAGCAACATGTTAACGCACTTTGTTTGATTTAAAATTACTTTCAGCTACCTACGGAACATGATAGCTCGATCTAAACTATTTCGTAAGCAACCGCAATCACCGCTGGACCGCGCAATTTTCTGGATTGAAAAAGTTCTCGAAAACAAAGGATTGCCTTACTTGGCGTCGCCGGCCCATGATATGCCATTCTACCAGCTGTATGGCATAGACCTGATTTGCGTGACACTTCTTATCGTAGTATTTTTGAATCTTCTTTGTAAGGTGCTGTTATCTTTGGTCAATAAACAGTCTTAATTGTTTTCAAGCAGTGCATTTCAACAACTTAGTTTATTCTCTCGAAAGATACCGCTGTATGCCACTAATTCACATGCTGCTATCCCTATCTTTGGTACACATAGATCAACACAGATATACTAAGCAGGTATTCATATCAGATATGAGCCCCCTCCAGTGATGCCACTGATGCAGCGTATGACGGTGGAGGTTCATCCAGAAGTAGATATTTGTCCAATTTTTCGTACGACGGTGGATCCATAAGGATCGTAGCATAGTCCGGGGGAGGATGGTTTTCCAAATCCCGTTGAACGGTAAAGATTGTTCGTTGATCGTCCGGAAGTGGGCCAGTCCATAGGCATGCGCCAACTCGGTGGGTAAGGTACAATGCCACCATAATGCAGATCACAAAGAATGCAACAGCCAAACCCAGAACGATGATCTGAGATTCAAGCCGATCCGCCCAATCGGTATGGTTCATCGTATAATCCAACAGCAGCGCTACAACAACTAGTGATGGGATCGTAACCAGTACGATCGCGAGATCAATTACGCACTGCTGATGCTTCATCTTGACGAAAACGAATCATTTCGTTAATAATTAACATTATCACTCTTTTCATTTAAAAGAACACTTACGGTGCTACATTTTGACCTCAGCTGGATAACACGAAATGCCTACTGCACGCTAAACTTGGATGATGACGTTGTTCGAAAATATTCGCTGCTTGAACGCGACAAAATAGAAATGCAAAACTAGATCCAACTTCCTACACCGACGGATAACATATCTCTACGACGATGAAGAAGAAATTCCTAACGTGGAGCGCCGTGGCGCGCACTACCTTGTTCATTTTTATTGAAATATGATAAACAAGCTGTTGACACTACGATTACGTAGATGAGACGTCGAGAATCGCCCCAAAGGCAACAGAGGCGAATTAATTATCACAAGTTCAGATCGTTTCTCTGTTACCTAGTGGACGACCAAGATGGAGCAACCGGCGAGATTGTATCAGAAATCATCATATCGGGAACGGAAATAGAGGAAGTGCCCTCGCTGTCGTTATCTCACTTTTGTATGCAAATCTAGAATAGCTATCTATTCATATTCTACTCGTCAGGATGTATTCGTAACGACTTGGCCAAACATGTATTTAGTGTTGGTGTTGGAAATGCGAACGTCATTGCAGATAAATCTCTACGGTTGTCGCTATTTACTGCGATTAAAAAATTCACATGACCGAGAAAACAAATCCCGGCCCTGGAACAAAATGAGAACATACTGCTTCAAACGATAACAATGGCATACGAGGATATTTGTTTTACAGAATGTACCGTATCCTAACAAAGATACGTTTTATTTGTGCACATCCGTTTCCAGAAAGCCTCCAATGGATGATTCACCTTATAATAACAACATTTGTTTGATATGCATATCTTCTTTGTTGGACGAATCGCCAGATAATTCACTGATGGCTATTGCTTCTGCCTACAGTCACATGTAGGGGGCCAACCACCTTGAAATGTAGTGACTTGGTAGATAATCTGAGAATGCATTGTGCATTTCTCACCAAACTGAACAATTAAATGCGTTTGCACTTATGAAAAAGTGTGATAAATGTGCGAGTATTCTTCTAAGCGTCTTGCTATGTTTGGTGCATTTATTAAGTAATAAATTAGTGCACCGGAGACACCAAGATGATTTGACGGAACGGGCGTTGCTATGCGTATGAGGTAGTGAACCTAGTGTCTACGGTTCGGACTTCGAAAAATTTCACAAAATGTCCAGATGATAGTATGATCAGAAATGATACTAATGTGCGAGCACGCAAATTGAATGATATGGTTCTTAGTCAGTCCAACCGAACAGAGTTTTTAACGAGTTGATTGATGAATTACGATTAATATGAGTCAACGGAACGTGGATTTTCACAGTAGACATCCCTCGAACCTGGTCAAAACATGCGTATACAGTTTTCATATACGTGCTTTGGCCATCTGATTCTGATTTAGCCTCATGTTTGGATGCTTGCTGGTACGAAGCAACCATTCAATCTTACTCAGTGACTTAGTAAATGTTAACTGCTATCTTTTTTTTTTTGTAACGGAAATATTATTCAGTTGTCATAATAACTGGGTTTATAGTACGTTCAGACTACAGAGTTATAACATGTTATAACGGTTGTCAAATAATTGCAACACAGAAAACCCCCATCAAGATAGAGCTATAAAATTTTATAACTCTGTAGTCTGAACAAGGCATAGGTTCATAGCTCTGAGCAGTGGTGTTGAGTGAGCGGTGCAGGGAGTGCGGTGCGCGCAGACTTTAGGGAAGCAACTCAAATCCCTGAAATCACCGCTTCTAATTCCGAGTTTTCAATTTCAACTTAACATTTATACAGCCTTCTATTCAGATACCTGCAGTGTATAAGTCGTGCTTGGTAGTCCGGCCACATAACTGAATCTCGAATACTGATGTTTACTATCGTTGATGCCATAAGAAGTCTATAATAAGAGGCATTCTAGGACACGAGGGTACCGGAGAACAATTTGCAGAACTTTCTTGCAAACCACCAACGGCGTCCAATTCCGCTGCTTCCACCGCTTCCAATCAACAACCGCTTTGCTGCTGCTCGTCTCGTCAACTTAGAGCTACCTACGGGATACACGAATTAAACGTATGCGGCAACCACTTCATCCCACAGTACCTCCCCCCTGAACTGGAACGCTTGCTCGCTCAAGAACATGAACATCAGCGGCGCTGGTGGTGTAGTGGTAAGCATGATTACCTCTCACCCCAGCAGGCCTAGGTTCAATTCCAGTTGATTCCGCCGGGATGTTCTGAGGCATAACATCTCTGATCACGCCTTCCTTCGGAAGGGAAGTGAAGCCGTTGGTCCTCGGATAATGAGTTCACGGATCGATAGGTAGGGTCCAGGTGTAGGAACTGCCTCCCTGGCGTCGGTAGCATTGGTGCTCAGGACGGAAAACAAGATCGACGGAAAACAAATCAAGAAAAACAAAGAACATGAACATCGGGTTTATTGAATTTCCCAATGAACGAAAAATTTACATTGCCATCGTAATTGAAACCCACCTGAAGTCCGAAATTAATGTTTACTTTCCCAATTTCCAGTTTGATCAAACCAAATCTGGAGTAGGAGAAGTGGCTATTGCGCTAAGAAGAAACATCTGCTGTCGGCTGCTGCCGAGCTTTCAGCTGAAGACCATCGAACCCGGGGGAATGTTTCTACTCCTGTTGGCCCCATCACCATTGTTGCGGCTTACTTCCCAAACAAGTCAACATCAGGGACGGGTCGGCAGCAGACATGCGATGAGATATTGTCCAGCTTACACGACGGCGGAAAAACTTCATCATCGCTGACGACCTGAACGCCAAACATCAAGCTTGGGACAACAGTCGGCGCAATCAAAACGGCACCATCCTGAACAACGACCTGCAGAAAGCGCAGTACAACATCTTAAGTCTTAAGTCAGCAACATGGCCCACATCTCACAACCGTTTGTCTACCAAGAACTCAGCTCGGACCACCATGTGTAGGTGACCGAAGCGAAACTTCACGGCGCAACTACCATCGTATCAACTGGAATCAATTCAATATCACTGTGTCTACACAACCATCGATTACGATGTCCAACCATAGATGTCCAAAGACGTTGACCGTTGTCTGCAATCCATCGAGGAGGCAATATCATAGAGGTAACTCTAAGACTAGAAGGTCCCGAAATAACGTGCTCAACTTTTTGGCTCAGCTCTGGTGCTCTTCGGTCCCAAGGTAATCGATTCACCCCTCGAAACATAGGAAAAACCAATAACCCCTCATTTATCTGTCAAACTTTCATAGCGAATCAAAACAAACAATGCGTAGTACTAGAATTTTGACTAGAATGGGATACGTTAATCGTTTGCTAGTTAGGCTAGTCAAGTAGTGAGCCAATTTAAAATCGTTAGTTTCGTATTGATTGTTGGCAACATCCCGGGCCAGAGAACAACACGTGCCAGTATCCAGACAGGTGAGTAACACTTTGAACCATGACAGCTCTACTAAATACCTCATTAGACTACGAAACACCATTCGTAGGCAGTTCCAGCAAAGAGGTAACTCTAAGACCAGAAGGTCCCGAAGAAACGAGCTCAACTTTTTGGCTCAACTCTGGTACTATCTTCGGTCCCAAGCTAATCGATTCACCCCTCGAAACATAATAAAATCCACGAACCCCTCATTTCATCTGTCAAACTTTCATAGCGAACAAACATTGTGTAATCGATTTGCTTGGGACCAATAGGCTAGTCAAGTAGTGAGCCAATTTAAAATTGTTAGTTTCCACCGGTTGCTTCCAGCGTTCTGATCTGCCTAACTTGAAAACCATTTGTAATCGGTTAGCAAAAAACATTCATGCCAGGATGGTGGATTTCAGAAATAACGATTTTGCCAATAAGATCTGTTCTTCCCCAGATTGTGCAAAGTCTTTCTGGAAGCTAACCAGCATCTCAAAAAATAAGTCCAGACCCATTCCACCATTGGTTCTACTAAATTTATATAACGCCTAGCTAGACTATCAGCAGGAAACGAAAATGGAAAAGAAGCACGCTTAGAACGGAACGCTGCTGGTTGTAGATTTTCTCCTCTAAAGTAACGGTGTTTATCGAGTTTTTTTTCCTTGGTTTGTTTTCCGTCGATCTTGTTTTCCGTGCTGAGCACCAATGCTACCGACGCCAGGGAGGCAGCTCCCACACCTGGACCCTACCTATCGACCCATCATCAACTCATGAACCGGAGACCAACGACTTTGCTTCCGAAGGAAGGCGTTATCAGAGATGTTATGCATCAGAACATCCCGGCGACGCCAACTGGGATTGAACCCAGGCCTGATGGGGTGAGAGGTAATAACGCTTACCAATACACCACCGGCGCCGCTAGTTTATCGAGTTGAAATAAAGCCTCTTTATGACTTTCAATCCCTTTCACCGACACTCTATTCAATTTGTTTAATATGTGTTTCGATCCGTTTACGTCACTTTTTTTAAGATACATATGCGGATGGAAGATAAATAAAACATAAACATATCAATCCTCGTGAGAAATGCTTTAAATATACATGTTAATTTTCCGTTATATTAGGTAAATGGATGTAATGTCGGCCTAAATGCCTCTAATTTGGGCCCATACATAAATTCAGCAATCGACTAAATTTTCAATAGCGACCAAAAATATTTATTAGTACCATCCCATTGACGCGTTCATCTAGATAAAATTGATAAATAACAGATTTTTAGCGATGGGCCCAATCTTAGATTCATAGGCCAACATTAGAGCCATTTCCCCTACGTCATGAAACCTCTGTGTTTCATGAAAGACGAAACTATCAAAATCAAGCTCTCTTTCACTAGTCCGCTTCACCGAAGCTTTAAAGAAATACCAGAAGCGACGGGATTGAGAGAGACAAGCGATTGAAAATTTGTTAGTAAACGTCAACTGGGGTTCTAGAATGCTGTTCGACTTCAACAGAAAAAGAAAGCTATCAGTCTCTTCGTCGCATCGATTTTATCAATTGAAGCTGATATTGTGACACCATGGCTCTGATAATCCGGCTATCCCTGTTGGTGGAACGTTGTCTCTCTTGGCAGATGACAAAACCATAATCTACAAAAGTTGGGTCATCGGAGCATTCCCTGCCAAACTTCAGAGAGGCTTGTATGTCCTGTATGAGTATTTCAATAGTTGGAATATCCGTAGGGGAGCACATTGATAAAACTACTAACAATCCTCCTTGCTGCCTATAAACAACTAATCCTACTTGTTAT